TCCTAAGTTTTCTTTGCCATTATCCCTACATATCCCCAAAAATAAATACCCCCTATAGAACCCTGAATAATAGGTTTCCAGGTTCTTTTCCAGTATCCATAACTACCCCTATACACTTACCCCCTGCATAACCCCAAATAGTAGTTTCCATGTTCTTTTGCATTATCCCCACAAATCCCCTAGAGAATTAATCCTATAACCCTACTAAATCTTGGTTTCCACGTTCCCTTCCATTCATTATCCCTATATATCCACCTGGATAATTACCTCCTAGATACCCGCCTGTAGAAGTAACCCTAAATAGCTTTTTCCATTTTCTTTTCCATTATCAATAGAAAATCGCCCTAGATATTTACCTCCTAGATAACCCTAGCCATGCCTGGAACTGATCTCGAAGCCAATCGGGGATGCCTTGCCGAGAGCAGAATTTCACTGGCTTGGGACTCAGAATTCAGGGGTTTGGGGTTCAGAGTTCAGGGTTGAGGGTTTAGGATGCTTTCTCCTCCGCATCTCATGGCTTTTTTAGCTCTAGCGCTATGTTTGCCCCTAGGTGTCTTCCGATAGTTTGTCCTTCCGTGGTGAAATCATGAACCGCTTGTGAGATGACTCCTTCTTGAGAATGTCTAAGCCGTTGAAAAGTCTCATGGCCGCATATCTAGGGGATATATAGTGTAATAATGGAAGCTACTATTTAGGATTATATAGGTGAATATCTGGGCGGATGTATAGGGAAAATGGAAAAGAAAATGGACACTACTATTTGGCGTTATATACGGGGTAATTGTATTGGGGTAGAGTTATGGATACTGGAAAAGAAAATGGAAACTACTATTTAGGGCTTGCATTTGTCGATCTGATGCGTTCTCGACAGCTGCCAAATGCTTGGCATGCACCCATATAATCGGCTGGACACCATGATATGCAACATACATGGTAGTCTCCAAAACAGGGGAACGTCAATATAGACCACAATACATTATAATCCATATTGTCGTGGGGACCGCCACACTGATGCCCCTGATTCTGGGAAACCCTACACCCTAATCCCCAGACCCTGAAGCCTATATTTTGGGGGAACCCTCACATACGCTCACATATAGCAAACAGAGGCAGGCCCGGAATTTCAGCGCGGCACCATACCAGGACGGGTGCGGCCCGAATCGGCCACCAAACAGGCCCGAATCGGCCACCGCAGCGCCCGAATCGATCACCACGAACTGGCCACCAGGAAGCCCGAATCGGCCACCAGGAAGCCCATCGGCCACCGCACGCCCGAATCGGTCAAAGCGACGCCGAACCGGCCACTGCCCGAGGCCGCCGCGGCCGTTTGAGGCGGCAACCTAGGAACCAGGCCGCGCCGCCCGCCACGTCCCAGCTCCCCACCAACCCAACCAACCCAACCAACCCAACCGACCTCACCAAGCCCACGCCCTTACCCGGCCCAAGCCACCCAAGCCGCTCAAACAAGCAAGTAACCTCACGAAGCCCGCCAACTCAACCAACCTAACCCACGCAACCGACCCACCCCAGGCAGGTAGCCCAAGCAACTTCGTACCAGCTCACCAACCCAACCAACCCAACCAAGCCGGCCGCCACGTCCCAGCTCCCCGTTCCAGCCCACCAACCCAACCAACCCAACCGACCTCACCAAATCAACCCACGCCCTTACCCGGCCCAAGCTACCCAAGCGCGCAAACAAGCAAGTAACTTCACGAAGCCCGCCAAGCCAAGCAACCTAACCGACCCAACCGACCCACCCCAGGCAGGCAGCCCAAGCAACCCCGTACCAGCCCACCAACCCAACCAACCCAACCAACCCAACCAACCCAACCAATCCAA